ATGAGGGCAGTGTTTCGGCTGGGCTTCGTCTCAGTCTACCTTTCGGCTCCCATGTTGGATGGTTTTGCCACGGGAGCCTCGTTTACTATCCTGACCGTCCAAGCCAAATACCTCTTGGGTCTGAAGATTCCTCGCCATCAGGGCTATGGCACTGTCGTTGTAACCTGGATCAACATCTTCGCCAACATTCACAAGACCAACGTATGTGACCTTATCACCAGTGCCATCTGCATCACCGTCTTAGGTAAATAAGGACCAGAACTCTTTGGATTGTGCGGAAATATAGATAAGGCGGTCATTACATTTTGGGGCCTGGGTGTTTTGGGGGTTCTGTAGTGGCAGGAAAAGAGATCCAGGAACGCTACAAAGATCGTTTAAAGATCCCACTGCCGACTGAACTGGTCGTGGTTGGCGGAGCGACGCTGGCCAGTCATTTTGGAAATCTCAACCATCATTACGGCACCAGTGTTTCAGGTCACATCCCCACTGGCTTCATCCCTCCTCAAGTGCCCAGTTTTAGTCTGATGCCAAGAGTAGCACTGGATGCCATTCCTCTGGCTGTTATCAGGTGATTTTTTTAAAAAATAAGGTTCATGCTGTTTTAGTCAAGTAGAAACAACAATGACAGACAGAAATTTGTCCTAATGTAATCCCGATGAATGGATTTTGACTCGTGATTTGAAAAGAAAAATGTTTTCTCTCCTAGCTTTGCCTTCACCGTGTCACTGTCTGAGATGTTCGCCAAGAAAAACGGCTACACGGTTCGACCCAACCAAGAGATGTTTGCCATCGGCTGTTGTAACATCATCCCCTCCTTCTTCCATTGCTTCACCACTAGCGCGGCTTTGGCAAAAACGATGGTGAAGGACTCAACGGGCTGTCAGACGCAGGTGACGTCCAAACCGAAGAAATGCACGGCAGAACAACACGGTTTTCTCGGAATGTAGAAATCGAAATCCTGAGTGTGTTTCCATCAGGTGTCAAGTCTGATCAGCGCCTTGGTCATCCTGCTCGTCCTGCTCTTCTTCGCGCCTTTTTTCCACGCTCTCCAGAAGTGCGTCCTGGCCTGCATCATCATTGTCAGCCTTCGAGGGGCACTCAGGAAGTTCAAGGACGTCCCCGCTAAGTGGCGAGCCAGTCGTAACGATGCCGTGGTTTGGTTGATTACCATGTCGGCCACGGCTCTGATCAGCGTCGAGCTGGGACTCCTTGTTGGCATCAGCTTCTCTTTGATCTGCATCATCTATAAAACCCAGAACCCTAGGGTGAGTGACAGCAATAGAACTGAATCGTACAACATTCCTCTCGAGTAAGGATAATTGGTCAAATTGTAAGTATAGAAACGCGGATGTTTCGGATACCTTAAAAATCGTAGGTGCTTCATTGTCCTCCTGAAATGTCTGTAAAAGGTCTTATGATATACTGTGCGTTGAGGTACAAAAGTTTCTTGTTGTACCTTGACTCATCCAGTACCAGCCAATTCTAGACCAAGTCTGAAAAGACGTTTAAAAACGTCTTTGTGAGTGAATGAGTTAAGGGGTACAATGGCTTGTCAAGTTGTGAGGTAGCCACAAGTGTATACTGTTTTGTACCCATGACAACTTGGGAACATACTTAGTTGGACCTACACTTTATAAACTTAAACTGGACACAAACATCTGCAGTTCACTGCAGTATCAAATTTCCTTTTACCTACAGTACGTGCGAAGAAATTGACTCAGACCCTCCATTCTTGACAATCTTCACAATCTTACAGATTGGAGGAAACGGTAAACAGTAAAAGACAATTTCATTTTTTGAGCTAATCCAACATCTAACATCAGGTCTCTCTCCTGGGCCGAGCCGGCGACTCTGACCTTTATGAGGATATGGAGGAATACCAAAACCTCGTCCCGCCAAGCCGAGTGCGAGTCTTCCGCTTCCAGGCTCCTCTCTACTACGCCAACAAGGACACCTTCCTAAAAACCCTCTACAAAGCTGTCGGGGTGACACCTTTCTTGGAGATGACCAGCCGGAGAAAGGCAGAGAAAAAGGCCAAAAAGATATCCATGACCCAAGCCCAGGCCAATGGGGACACCAACAACGGAGACGTCGTCGTGGCACTCGTTCAAAGACAACTGGACTTCCACACCATCATTTTGGACTGTTCTGCCATACCATTCCTAGACTCCACCGGCCTGGTTGCCTTTCAGGGGCTGCTCAAGGAGTTTGCGGAGATTGGTGTGAGAGTGGTCCTCGCCTGCTGTAACACCTCCCTCATAGATACCTTGCAAAAGGGACAGTTATTTGGGAAGGGTGACAAAGACATGAGCAAAATGCTGTTCCACACAGTCCACCATGCTATCCTGTACGCAAACATCCAGCAGCCCGACAAGAGCTCAGAAGACTCTGTTCTGTAGAACTTAATGTGTCACCAGGTCTTGCGTGAGTTTTCTTCTGGTATTCCGGTGTACTGCCCTTTCCAAGAAACATGCATGTCAGGTTCATTGAGGACTCAAAATGTTCTTGCATGGTTGTTTGTCGAAATGTGCTCCGCAGTTGACTGGCAACCAGTCCTGGGTGTACCTCACCTCCAACATAGCAGCAACGTAGCGGTGCATCACGCAATGTTCGCATCCACACACCTCTGTCTGAATCCGTATGAGACGGACCAAGAGCAAAACAAACCTGTTGGCTAATCATTCATCGACATTTTTATTTAATGATCACCTCGTTGCCTTAAGTTCCACTTTTCGGATGGAGCACTTTGCTAAAACACTTTTTCAGCCTTTTAGACCGCCGCCCGTCTCACTTGTGAACGGTACTGCTGAAGTGAGACGAACAAGGCACATTATAAATGTATAATATCAGATCGCAGATGGATAGATTTGTGGTAGTACAGGATGAAATATTTATTCTTCAGACAACGACAACATAATGTATAAAGCTGTAAGAGAAGGTAAAACACAACTGAGATCAAAACAAAACTAACCCGTCGGCACCATCAAGCAAATGATTGTCTTTTCCTGAAGTGCCGCTTTTACCACGGAGCACTTTGCCAAGACACTTTTTGACCTTTTCGGGCCACCACAGCTCACATGCTCAGTGGAGCCAAAACGCGAACAAAACAAATGCGATTTTTCATCGATGTGATGTCGTCTAAAATGATTCCTTGGATTGATGCAAATAATGGTTGTCACATTGCGCAACTGTCTGTCCATTCACATACAGGCCTTAAGGCAACTAGACACTGTTGAGGAGCCTGTGATAAAATAAAACTTTCTTTTTTTTTTTTTTTTTACAAGTATGACTTTTATTGTTACAGTAATACAATCATACTTCTTTTTGGCTATGAAATTTTGCAACTTGGGCGACCAACTCCGTCACCCACCCCATGCTATACCACTGACCCAAAGCATATACTGTATATATACCAGATAGCTCGTCCTGCATAAACCCGAATACAGTCCGACAGATTCATGCATTGCTCATTGAAAAACTAAGGAAAATTTAAACACACACACACGCATACAAATAGAGAGTACTATCTAATGCCACTGTGTTCTGTCAGTGTACATAAAGTCATTGCTCATGTTCATGTTTTTAGTTGTATCATATCTGTTAAATGTCTCGCTAAGGTTTATTCATTTCCTGAGTTTGGAAATGCCCCGCTCGCCTTCCTCAGAGGAAGAACAACAGTAGCCATTAAAATGGGACGTTATTTAAATTATGCAACAGCCATCGTTCCAATTTGAGATGAACTGCTGCTTTTAAATATCTGATGGCCTAATTTATTGGCTGATATGTAAAACAATCAAACGCGTGCCTCAAACCTCTCATCTTTCTTCATCTCATCTTGATATGAACACAAGAAACCTGATCAATTTCAACCCAATAAAGATATTTCTTGTCGATGGTGACTGATGTTTAGTTTTCTTCATCCTTCACGATGCATCCGAATACCCAGCCGGATCAAAATGGCTGCATTTACACTCACAGCAAATATTTAGATGATTATTTGGACCTTTGCTCGACGTGTCATTAATCACACTAATCCAGGTGGCCAAAGTCTACACTTAATGATTTAACCAACCAAAGCCAATTATTACCCGAGACGTCAAAATCATTTCCTTGACGGTTTAAACTCTCAACTGTGTTCCCCTCAAAACCTTTAACTTGTACTATCACCACTTTTTCCAATAGCTGCGATTCTCTTTTCTTTGTCACTTATTTTTGTTTTGATTTTGAAATTTGCCTTGTTAAAATGTGAAACTGTCTCTAACATTTATTTCATTTTATTGTCAAATGTTTTTTTTCTATGCATTTCTAAAACTATTAAAGGTCATATGGCTGTCTTTTGAGCATTCCTTTTTGCAATCGTGTTGGACATCCGTGTGTGAGCATGTTTAATACTTGAAATAAACTCTATGAGTAAAATATCTTGATGGCATGTGATTATGATCATAAACCAAAATATAAAATAATTATTTGACCCTGGTTATTAGTTTTGGGCGGTAAAACTAAGGTCATTGCATTTTTGGATACATTTTTTTAAGTTGACTATACATCTACTCATTTTATTTCATCAAGTCATTGCACAAACTAAAAAATCTCACGTTTGTCTCATCTACTTAAAAAAATGTATCCGGATCCAGGTGATTTTATTTTGTGCAGCCACTTGACGAAATAAAATTCAACACACCGTTTTGTCTTAATTTTTCATTACATGGCCAAATGCCATCGAGAGTATCATGTTTTTCAAACTGGGGAGGCCAGTCTATTTTAATGCCTCTGGAAAAAAACAATTTGTCGACCAGGGTAGGGTTGGGGCTGCTCGTCAAGGAGTGTGATCTGAAGACAGAATTGTTCCAAACTAACTTTATAGCCATCGATCACAGCGCGATGCCCCTTCAACATGATCCTTCATTCACATTAAGTGGGTGCTGTGGATGCTCACCCACTTGGACCTGCATCCTCAACACGTGCCTGCTTCAAAACACTCACTTGAAACCTCATCATCAGTTTGAAACCCTACTTTGAAACTCTAAACATAGTTTAAATCTCTCGTTTGAAAACCTAACGCTATTTCATACACTTCTTATAAACCTTAATACTCGATAAAAACACTGCAGTGACACTCTTAACCATGGTTTAAAGGCCGGAACTCTCTGATTGGCTGCCCTCTTCCCCGACATAACCCACCAATCAGTGCCACGTTTGGGTGTCCTGATTGGTAATTGGTTTTCAGGAGTGCTATCAGCTGCAGTGATTGACTAGCATGGTTGAATAGGATTGTGTTGCCTTTATCAGTGGCCATTTGTGTCACGTTGTATTTTTGTGCTGATGTTTTTTTTTCTTTGTACTGCATTGTGTTACGTGTCCTTCGCCCTAGCTATCACAAAGTGTATCGTGACTTTTGGCACTCCCTGTACATAAATATATTTCTGACGTCCTGAGTCATCTGGTTGGATAAATTCAGCGTTATCCAAAAAGATGAGTACACCAAGTCACATTCACAGTAACAGAGTGATGTGTCAGATCCTCCACTTTTTCCATGACGCCGTTTCCCAACACGATTACTTCTGACAAACTCTTTGACAGTGGCCTCTTGCTCAACATCAGTATAAGTGTCAGCATGTAACAGAATCTCGTGTAATTATTCTGTGCAAGGTTACACATTTACATTTCGTGTAGCTTTGAAGTTTTTTACTCGATTCTCAATTGAGTGCATCGACGAGCGCCCTCTGTTGTTCAAATCAGGAAGAACAAGCCTATTTTTTTTAGTTTGGACTGCTCTTCTGCCGAAAAATACTATGACACCAATATTTTTGTAGTTATTCAAAATGATTTTTTTTCTCTTTGACCTTATTTAATACAGCTTAAAAGTCAGTTACAGTGCTTCATAATACAAATCAGCATTGTTTCTCAGAATAAAGATTCAAACAAATGAGACTGGTGCTGCATTGTCGTGCAAAAACAAAGTCAGTGCATGTACCGCATACGTTTGATCTGGTGGAAGGCAAATAAAGTACAGTACTTGCAAAATACGGACAATAAACACTATTGAGACTACCCGGATCACTACACATTGGACCGATTCACACATGACATCACTTATAATAGTCACATAATGCTGGCTTGCCTGTTTTTGTCCTGTAAAACGTGTGACATAAAAAAAGCACCAATCACCCAAATAACCAGAAACATGCAATCACTCCTCCATAAGAACAGGGAAAAAAAGGAATACCATGCATATACAGTACAGTAGTTCGGTTTTACAGTGGGGGGATGATTTGATCTGCTGTGGAATCTGGATGTTTGAATCCTCGAATATAGCAAACATTTTTGGGAGCTGAGCACTAACTCACATTTTGTTGGGGATCAAATACTACTAATCTTTTACTCATTGTGGGTTCTTCAGTCCTAATGACAGTCGGAAAAATAGAGTGTTCTTTTTTTGTAAATTCAGTAGTGCAACAAACTGGCTACTATTTCATTTAGTCAAGTAAATACTCTCTTAGGAGAAGCGTGCAGTTGTAGTGCATTGTTCGCGGTAAACATCTCATATTCGACAAGTACTCTGTGGTAAGGGAATAGAAATCCGGATGAAGATTATTTGTTTGTTGGACTATCAGACACCTCGCAGCCATACTTGTGATGACAGCAATGCGGTTGTATGAAATTGAGATGCTGAAATGGCATCAGGTACATCCATCGCACTGTCAAGTTCCCTGCTTTTCAACACAAATTGTGTCATGCTTAATAAATAACACGTTAATATTTCCAGCAAAGCAAAAAATCCCCTCCACTCCTTACTTCTCAACACTTCAAGCAGCAATGTGCACCGTGTCAATCACAGTGACACTTGTTCAATAAAACCTCCCGGCCCATGACACCCGCTCTAACCCGCCCCAAGAATCCCATGTGCAAATGGATATATTTCCTTCTCAACCAAGCATCAAATAATTGTCAAGATTTTTTTTTTTAAAAAGCAACAAAATAATCATTTTTCGATACAGTCTAAGTAGAAATTTCATGCACAGACATCCGGCCGGTAAGTACATGCAATTGCAGTCATCTTCAACCGACCTACTGACCCTTATCTTGGCTCTGGTGGACCATGCTTGTGAGTAAATTTTGACCAAATCCAAAGAACGTTAAAAAAAAGAGCAACTGGTCATGTGACGACACCCAAGTGCATCCTTGCGTTGTTTGATTGTTGTCATTGTGTCCTTGGTGGACAAGGCTGGCTATGCCGGAACTGCATAATGTCCACTGCGGTTTGATGCCACCAGTAAAGCATGGCAACCACCAGAACGTGCCAGACCTGATGACTGGCACCGATGTAGTTCACGTGGCCTGAGAAACAGAAGCACAAAGACGATAAATACTTTTGATATAAATTGCTTTCAATGTTGTATATAAAAAAAATATTCATACTCCACTTGTACAAGGGCTGAACGTTTTTAAAAACAATTTTGAATGAATGAATATGACAGCCAGTTGATTCATCTTTTTCAATTTTTGTCACTTCAGGTGTTCATGTTTCATGAAACAATGAGAAAAACATGTGGATGACACTTATCAAGACACTCTAAAAATCAATGAACATTACGGGTACTGAACGTGTACGTATATATACATATATAACAAATAAAACCTACGAACTGACCGTAATGAAACAGGGGTTGTTGGTTTTTTTCGGCGAAATTTATTTTACATTCATAAATGCAATAACATGTTCACGTGAGGTGCAAGTATTACATTTATCCACATAGGGTCGCTATCCTCACGTTGTACGGTCAAATCAGCGATTTTCTTTTTTAGCAGCAGCGAAAATGGATGTATGGACTTGAAAAGGGAGTGGCCCCGCCTGATAAGTGACGGGGGCGGCAGCCAACGACAGTTTTGTTTTTATTAGTTGGAGGTTTTTTACTGTGTGGTGTGTTTGTTGAGTGCAAAAAAGTCACTTGCATCAATTATTACAAAAGTACTCTGTAATTAA